CACTCGAGGAGAAATCGGGTCAAAACAATCCAACATGTTGGATATCCCCGATATTGAGATCGGAGCAGTCCCGAAGTCCTTCCGAGCGACACACCACACACGGTAGGAAAATCCATCAGATTTTCTGTTACGATATTCGGAGCGTTCTTAAGATTGTCGTAGGGGTAAATCGGGTCCAAAATCGGCCTAATTATCCTGCCGTGTGAACCAGACTTCAGGCTGTACAGGCCTCTCCTCCGACGCACCTGATTTGTAGGTATTGATGTGCGAATCCCTACTCCAGACATGCCTACCTAATACTTTCACCTCTATAGTGAGTTGTGCTTTTTGTTAGAACTTTTCGAAACTTTTTCACAAATGTAAATATGCCAGATTATATTCTTAGGCTAATTTTCCGTCTGCAGACCCCCTGGCAGGTTGGTAAAAACATACAACTCTTATTAGGCCAGAGCCCCGAACAGGGAAAGGGCCTATTGTTTTTGCTCGAGAGATGTCAAATTCTGCACTTTGAGCATTAATTTCACCCCCTGAACATGCATGAAAAGTTGTAAAATTTTGCCCAAAAATCAGACCTGGTGAAAAATTAGATATTTTGGTGTTTATTTTTATGGGACTCAAAAAATGCCAGAACAGCGCCACCTACAACAGCCAAAATAATACCCCTATGGGATTTTTGGAGATCAAGTTTGTCGTAGAGGCATGAAATTCGGTACATGTTCCTCAAGTCAGGACAAGAAAACATTTTATGGCCCCGCCCTCTGATATAAAGTCCATGAATTTCATTGCAAAATGGAAAAATGAACAGCAATAGTTCATACATGTCGGTTGGAAATCTTCTCCTCCTCGACCGTTTCACCGATTCGTCTCAATCACTCCACATCATCTAGCAATAGAAGAATGAATAACATTCTTCTATTGCTACGGGAACAAATCATCACACGGCGGCGCCACCTCCTTTGCGCGATGCTGTGTGGTACGGCAAAGTGCGGGGCGTTGTGGAGCAGCGCGTTGCAGCTTGGCGTGGTGTGTTGCAGATCCGCTTGGTGCGGGGCGGTGTGGTGTGAAGCGGCGTGGTGCAGATCCGCTTGGTGCGGGGCGGCATGCCGCGAGGTGGTGCGCCGGATGTTGTGCGCGGTGAGGCGAGGGCCGTTCAACACCGCTTGCGGCTTTAATCTGAGTTTATTTTTGTCTCATGAATACCAAAAATGATCTCTTAACATGTTCCTGTCTTTGCATATGCCCTGTAGGGGTGTCACAGTATGAAAATTGAACCTCATGGTTATTGGAACCAAAATTTTCACGGTTATCGTTATTATTGCCACATTTCCTTTTTAAACTTCAGTGAATATGTTCAGAAAGCATTGATAGCAGAGATGGGGACTCGCGAGTCGGACTCTGACTCGAGTCCGACTTAAGTCGCTATTTTCAGAGACTTGCGACTTGACTTTGACTCGTCCCCTAAAGACTCGGGACTTGACTCGGACTCGTCCCCTAAAGACTCGGACTCGTCCCCTAAAGACTCAACTTGACTCGGACTCGTTGTTTTCGGACTTGTGATCATTGCGAGTCCTGACGCTACAGATCCAACCATTTCACAGGCTGGTAAGGGAGCGCGCTCTTTGGCTGTGCGTGCTCTATGGCGGTGCGCTCTCTTTGGCTGTGCACGCTCCTCGGCTGTGCGCGTTCTTTGGCCGCGACCGCGGGTCTTGACTGTGCGGGAATACACGCGTCGACTCATCACTTTGTGCATCAGTTGTGTCTGAGCTGTGAGCCGCTCTGTCAACGGCAGCGCGCAGCCGGTCATAATGTTCCCAGGACCATACATGCACACATAGGACAATTCTTTGCTTGTTATGTGCGCGTCTTTATACACCTCTCGAATACACAGAGCTGGATGATAGAGCCCCCTGACGTTTCCATGTCTCCCCGTGTCTCCTCCTAAACTCGTAAAATTTAAGCTGGGGTACGTAAATTTTCCCTTGCATTAACAGCTCATGTTGGTTGTGCCAACAGTAAAATGCTGTGAACAAACAGATTTAATGACAACCATTGGCTGATATTATGTATTTCAGACTTTTTTTAAATGTCCCATTGTCATCCCTGTTACAAACAATAGTTTTGGTCTGTGCCTTCACTGTAGTGACATGTTTGTTACTCTGTAACGTAGACTATTGCACTTTATTTTAATTGTGCATACATCCTCTACAGTACGTGCTTCTGCATACTGTATAAATAAACGTTTTTGTAGCAGTACAGTACAATTAATTCATATATTTTAGTCAATTTTAAATTGTATTGGTCATCATTTTAATGCGTAGGAAATGAGACTTGGACATGTGGGTCCAGGGACTTGGACTTGGACTTGACTTGGACTCCAGGGCATCGGCTTGACTTGGACTTGTGGGTCCAGAGACTTGGGCTTGACTTGGACTCCTGGGCTAGGGACTTGGACTTGACTTGGACTTGCGGGTCAGAGACTTTTGTGCATCTCTGATTGATAGTCTTTAAAAATGCATTGATAGTCTTTAAAAAAGTGAAAACATGTGTTTCTACAAATAACATTCCCTTAATTATTACACACTTAGTTTGTTTTAACCATTTTGACCTTCACTAAGTGCATGGTATTGTTGTGCCTTCAACAAGAGCTCAATAATTCTATGTCTTAATTTCACAGTCTCATCTATTACTGTTTACCTGTTTAGTCTAGTCTATTAGCTGCTACTTCAGCTAAAACGCTAACGTCATCTTATTTAGCATTAGCCATAGAATTGTGGGTGATGGTCACGCAGAAGGGCCATGAGGTTTGAAGTATTGCTGCCTTTAGTTAAAATTTTCCCTGCATGTTGCCCGCATTGTGAGCATTGTATTCTGAGAAAAAATGTATACGGTAAATGTTATAGTACATTTTTTTACCATGACATCACTAATGCTCTCAATAAAAAGGCCTACACAAGAAGTTGAGGAGTTTGAGAAGAAGAAAAAGAGGTTGAACTCTTCCCATTCCTTTGTAAGAGGTCCGATCAGATGGTGTGATTCACTTTCCTCAGATTGATCCCTGTCATCAACGCTGCAAAAACCCAACCTGCAAAGGCAACACAGATGTGAAGTGTGTGAAGTGCAACGTTAATTTTTGGTTATTTCATTGAAAAAAAATTCTGTTTCGCAAAAAGTTTTAAAGAAATAAAATGAATATATTTCAGATCTTTGCCATGGCCCATTGTCACTAATTTGATACATACCTAAAATTGGGTTTACAATGTGCTACGAATAAACTAACTTTCCACTTGCTTGAATCAGATGCTTTTTTATGCAATGGGTTGTTTTGTGTTTTCCTTTTGAGACTAGTTACCTTCATTTGGTGCTATAGAAAACTAATTTTCCCAGAAACATGTTTCCCTCAACGACAAACTGTTATGTTCAGCTCACTGCACTTACTCTTCCAATGTGGAGAAAAGCGAGTGACTTGATTTCCTTGCGACTGTTTGGATCGGCTCAACATCAGCCGCCAATCAAAACCTCGCCCACGGACATCCACTTCCTTTTAGTTGCAAGGAAGCGGGTGTGGCTAAATGTTTTCATTAAATCGACAGACACACGGTGAGTAATTTCTTACTTGAGCTATTTATTAACTACAACAAAAGCCACTTTATATTGTATCACGCTGGTGTGTTAGCTAGGCTTAATGTCATGTTAAAATTAACCATAGAAGAAATACTCTAACTGTTAACACATTAGAAACTTCAAATTCCATCCATCCATCCATCCATCCATCCATTTTCTACCCTTTAATCCATTTCTGGGTCAGGGGGGTGGCAATCAGAGATGCCACCCAAGTCTCATAGCACCAGCCCCTCACTGATCCTCTGCAGGTGGTGAGTCCACAGGAGGATGGCTGCTCTCTGAGTGTGAGCATAGCCTTGATTTTTTAGTGGGGGCTTTTGGGCAAAGTGGGGTTAAGTGTCTTGCCCAAGGACACAACGACAGCAGTCATCAGTGGGAGTCGATGGAGAAGGTGCAGAGGTGGGAATTGAACCCACGACCTTCTGGCCTTAAGGCCAATGCTCTACCAACTGAGCTACTGTCACCCCACTTCAAATTCCATCTTAAATAATTAGCATTAGCTGTAATTATATATTACAATACTTCACTTCCACAAACAGATCAAAAATATGATCGTTTACAACATGGCTGGCCATTCGAGTCAATGGACTATGCTGATTAACCATGAGCAGCTAGCTACGTTCGTTAGCTGGAACCCACAAAGAAATAAAAATAAAAATAAAAGGGCCAGAATCCACAGTAGGTCGCTCTCAGCTGAACATGAGTTTGTTGTTTTCTATGGGAAACATGGCTGCAGTACCAATGGAAGCCTCCAAGAAAAAAAACTATACCCAATCCCGTTATAATACAATATGTAGGTATTTAAATAGAGGACTTAACTCGCTCTTGGATAAAAGAGATGTTTCACTGTAGAGGTGTTTTCTTTCCCTAGTTCATTCATTCAATCTTTTTATTTCACTCTGACGTATTTCTATGCCATAATATTCAGAGCATTTAAAGATTACAACATTCTCTTTATCGGCGACTATGCAATACTTTTACGAAGCCATTTAATCCATTTAATCTTCAGCCTTAGTGGGAGGAGCTGACTTTGAACTATGGACCGTTCTCTGAAGGTCTTTCTTTCTAAATCTGTTTGTGGAAGTGAGAAACCAGGCACAGACTTCAAGGAAGACAGATGTTCTGTAGAAAGACGTTAGTCACGTGAAAAGGGTCTATGGCTGTGCAATGAGTTGGTGAACATTCCCATCCTGTTATGCAAATCAGTACATTAAAGTTATATTGGTGGGTTAGTTTGTGTACCTGGAGTACATGTAACAGACAATGGCAGGTTCAGTTTGTAGATAAAAATTTGACTGAGAATATGTAGTTTTGTCACATTCTGGCTGCATTGACTCAATTATCACGTCTTATCTAACATTTCCTTCTGTTTTTGTTAGTCACTGAACTTCAAACCTGAGGCAGACACAGGCCAGCTCTTGCCTTCGGATTCCAAAGAGGTAACCACTTTTTCTTTCTACTCGCGTGTAACTTAAAACTTGGGTGCAGGGCTGCACGATATATAAAAAAAATATAGTTATTGCGATATTGGTGCATGTGATATCTATTGACCAGATGCATCAACGTCATCCAGTCACGTGATTGTGAATGAGCTTACGGCGGAAGTATTGGAAACTAGCATTGCTGCGAGAGCAAAACGGACTATAACTCTTAAAAACGGAGCTTCCTCTCCTAAATCGAGAAGTGGCTGCTTCAAGCACATGTTCGATTACGTTATAGGTGGAAGTAGGACATCAGGTCAGGGCTCACAAAGAGTGGTATTTGGAGAAGTTAAGGATCGCCTAACTGGATGTTGACCCGTACCTTCTCCCCCCAGTCAATTTTATCGATTAAATAAAATGTCTATTTTTGCCCGAATTCACCCTACATGATCTTTATCATTATCGTTAACAATGCATCCCCGTGCACTGGAGCAGATTTAGATGTACATTTTGCTGGTAGCATTAGCGATAGTCCACTTTTCTGTGGCTTTTCTGTCTACAGCCAAACATGATACGTACTGACGGAGAGAAAAATAGTGAAACACGCAATTGACTTAAAAGATAAAAATGCCAATGTTGCAGCGCACATACAGGACAGTAGTAAGAGACACGTTTGACGTGTGTCATTGTCCTCCAAATGAATAGAATAGGGATGTAAATCGGTGACCGTTTAACTGGTGGTTGACCGTCACAGCGTTAACCGGTCAAAGCTGTCGGTTAAAAAAGAGGGAGAGGGGAGGTCTCTTAATAAGGCTATTTTAAGCCCAATTTGCACAGGGTGACGAGCGGGTCCATATCTAGCTGTGTGCGCAAATGTATCAGTAAACTCCGGGCCGACTCTCACGCCGCACGCGGCACACATGCACGCACACATGCACACGCGCGCGCGCGCGCGCGCACAGACACACACTTTCCTTACTTTAGCGGAGACCTGTGAGACGCGGCTCGTCACTCGCTGCTCTGACCATGTGAACGTGCCGTCTTTTGTTTAAAAATGCTTTAACCCGCAGCACAGCAGAATGGGAAGATTAAAACAGCAGTTCTCTGTGCGCAGAGGTGCCGAAGCTGTTGCGGGTTTTGGCGCCGCTGTCTCGGCTCTGATCCTATAGAACGCAGAGCTGCACTTAGTACGCAGCTCGAAATGGCTGTTATTTCAAAGAACGTGGACTATTTTAAACTACGCAGTTAACCGGTTTCAACCGGTTAATGAGGCTCGGTGGTCGGTCAGGAAAAATCATAGTTTTTTACATCCCTAGAATGGAAATAAAATAAATACAAACTTGTGATTGCTTTATCTTGTAAAAAGTGTTCACTGCATATTAGGGAGTACTTGGATGGGTCCCAGTCCTTTTGGTTGATTGCCGCTGGCCATCGTCGTCTTCTGTCTTCATGACGAGCAGGTATCAGATAAAAAAGCTTATGTCCTTGCCTGTTAGTATAATCAACCGCACTGCAAAATGTCACCGTTTTGGCTGTAATGCGCTGAAACAGGTTGTTTTGGTCAGGTGTCCGTAGGCTCGCAGTTAGACTTCTGCCGTCTGTCATGGAGAGTGGACGTGGCCGGGACGTCACATGCAAGGGGTCAATAGTTGTTTTTTTTATTGAAAAAAACAAACAAAATGTCTCTATTAAAGTCAACAAAACAGACACATCAACATTCAACAAGAACAACAAAGTATATAAATATAAGCATTTGAATGTCTCTGAGTTTGTGCTTATTTTTTGTTATTTGTCTCTTGCGTTTCGATGTAGATTGCAAGTAAGGTGAAAGACAAAAAAAATGGCAATAATATTGTTATCAAAATTTTAAACGCTCATTTTGAATATCGCTCTAATTTCCAATATTGTGCAGCCCTAACTTTTTCTCATATTTAGATGTAACCGGAAAGTCGTTATGAGAAAAAAAAACCAGACCAGAACACATTTTCCACATGTGAGATAGGGCCAGAGTGAGTCACTATTGGACACTTTGGGCCAAGAGCTGATTGGCTGAGTGAGGGTGGTCATGTCTTTTTAACTTTTCTGTCTGTAAAAGCCAAGGCCAAAAACACATTCATGTGAAAACAAGTGATAAAACCAAAATGTTTTGAGAGCGAGAAACTAGTTAAATAGATTTTATTACAAATTAGTACAAATATTTTGTGGTTTAAAAGTTGGGCACCCCTGTTTTAAAAAGCCAGTGTGGGCTTTTGTTGTAGTGTGTAAAGGGTTGCACATTTTGGTTTGGTCAGTATAGTGAACATCAGTACATTAGTTGGTACTATTTAGAAGGGCTGGGCGATAAAACGATAACGATATATATCGCGATAGACACGTTTTTGATATCAATAGAAAACAGGGTGGATTGAATGTTCAATAGTTCGACTTCACTCCGTTAAAAAACAGGAAGAAAACACAGGAAGTCAGAAGCGCGCGGCATTCGGGGGGGATGTAGGCAGAGACTTCTCCATCTACAGGAGGATCTTTGTTTACACCCGCATGCGCCCCTCGCCGGGTGGCAATAAGACAGAGCGGCACATACTGAACATGGATGGGACGTGTTAAACGACTCAGTGGGCGAATAGCACTGTATATAAGCACTTTAATGCAAGAAGATCAAAGGAGATATAAAGACAAGCTAAAAAAAAAGTATATGAGACCGAACTGAACAAATTCAAAGCCCATATGAGACCTGGGATGACGAGAAGAAACATTGGTCAGACTCGCCTCTCTTTTAGCACTGATCTACTGGGGCATTTATTCTTTCTTCATAGAAAACCCGGGACCCTTCACTCAAGAGTCCGTGGTGAAAATCGCGTTTTTCACCGCGGTAAAGTGGTTCCAGCATTTCGCCACACATTGAAAGCGAGACTTACGGTTAAGGTGGAACAGGAAGCTGCGGGGATAAGAAAAATGTTTAAAATTAATAATCATTCATGAATGAATGAATGAATGAGTGAACAAGTCCGCAGTGAAAGTAGTTGCAAAGCTTAAATTTATTCATGAATTTTTATTCCCTCATTCCCCCGGCTTCCCGTTCTACGTTTACCGTAGGTAACAGCATAAAAGGGCAACCACTTTACCGCGGCCGTTTTTCTCTGTTCTTTTCCGAAAGAATAAAACTTAATCTGTCCCCAGCGGGCCGTACAACCGACCACACAACAAGAATGGACCATTTGATTTAGTAAAACCTCTCTCCAAACCTCTAAAAATGGCTAACTCTCTAGCATCCAGGTGGCTTTCTATGCTGTAGTGCCACTAGGGCACGTGACCGGCGTGGAAAAACTATAAACAACGACGTCACTACAAGATCCTACTATTACAGCCGGGCAGGAACCACAAAACATTCTGGGAAATGCAAAAAGAACAACCGCACCATGCGCAGCGTCCATGGATCCATAGATTGTGTTTTAAGGGTGTGTCAATAGTTATGCACGTCCGTGCGAGGAATAGCATGTGCGGTGCGGTAGAGGCAGTGGGTACAGAGACTCGATGCATTCGGTGAAAGCAAGAGTGAACTTTTTCCGGAGCCGTCACGGGCAAACCAGACACTCAAACAGACAAAACAGGAGCTAAATGAGGACTAAACTAGGATTAACAATGAGAGACACTGTGCTTGTGAACATATTCCTCGAGCCTCATTCCCCTGTGACTATAAACAAGGCTGCTAAAGTGTGTTAGCCAACACGACAAATGTATTTATTTAGGTTTATATCCATCCAAAGGAAAGTCTTGTTCTCTCCGCACTTCACGGTTCTGTCACACCATCCACGTGCAAAAGTGCCATTCCATTCCATCATCTTCCACTTCATCCGGGTCGCGGGGGCAGCAGTCTAAGCAGAGACGCCCAGACTTCCCTATCCACACACACTTCCTCTAGCTCGTCCGGGGGGGGCCCCAAGGCGTTCCCAGGCCAGTTGAGAGACATAGTCCCTCCAGCGTGTCCTGGGTTTTCCCCGGGGCCTCCTCCCGGTGGGACGTGCCCGGAACACCTCCCCAGGGAGGCGTCCATGAGGCATCCGGAACAGATGCCCGAGCCACCTCAACTGGTTCATTACCCAAAGCTCATGACCATAGGTGAGGGAGGGAACGAAGATTGACCGGTAAATCGAGAGCTTTGCCTTTCGGCTCAGCTCCCTCTTTACCACAACGGTCCGATGCAGCGACCGCATCACTGCGCACGCTGCACCGATCCGCCTGTCAATCTCACACTCCATCCTTCCCTCACTCGTGAACAAGACCCCGAGATACTTGAACTCCTCCACTTGAGGAAGGACCTCCCCACCCACCTGATGAGGGCAAGGGCCCTTTTTCCGGTCGAGCACCATGGCCTCGGATTTGGAGGTTCTGATTCCCATCCCAGCCGCTTCACACTCGGCTGCAAACCGCCCCAGTGCATGTTGCAGGTCCTGGTTAGTTGGAGCCAACAGGACGACATCATCCGCGAACAGCAGAGATGAAATCCTGTGGTCCCCGAACCGGACCCCCACCGACCCGTGGCTGCGCCTAGAAATTCTGTCCATGAACACAGTGAACAGAACCGGTGACAAAGGGCAGCCCTGGCGGAGGCCAACATGCACTGGGAACAGGTCTGACTTACTGCCGGCAATGCGAACACAGCTCTGGCTCCGGTCATACAGGGACCGGACGGCCCTCAGCAGAGGACCCCTGACCCCGTACTCCCGGAGAACCCCCGGCGAACTCCCATGAACCCTCGAGTATCCGATGGAGAGTATAGAGCTGATCCAGTATTCCGCGACCGGGACGAAAACCACACTGCTCCTCCTGAATCCGAGATTCGACCATCGGCCGTAGCCTCCTCTCCAGTACCTTGGAATAAACCTTACCAGGGAGGCTGAGGAGTGTGATCCCACGATAATTGGAACACACCCTCCGGTCCGCCTTCTTTTAGAGAGGGACCACCACCCCGGTCTGCCACTCCATTGGCACCGCCCCTGATCGCCACGCTATGTTGCAGAGTCTATGCATGGAATCTACAGACTGGAACCTTTTCAGAGCTGCCACAGACAGTTTGGATGAATACACGGACACTGTGACGTCATACATTCACTTCTGTGAGGATAGCATCATTCCAACAAGGACCAGGGTCATCTATAACAATGACAAACCCTGGTTCACTGCTAAACTCCGGCAGCTCAGGAAAGCAAAGGAGTCTGCTTTCAGGGAGGGGGACCGCAGCGGCTACAAAGCAGCTAAATATCAGTTCAGGAAAGAACTGAAAGCAGCCAAGTCCCGGCACAGAGAACGACTACAGGAGCAGTTTGGTAACAACGATACTGCTTCTGTCTGGAGGGGCCTACGGGAGATCACCAACTACAAACCCAAAGCCCCCCCCTGTGCTGACGACCACAAGCTAGCTGACGAACTGAACTTATTTTTCAGTCGCTTTGATGCTGCCCCTGACACCTCTCCCTCCCCCACCCGCCTGCACCCCCGCAAAGCTCCTGGCCCGGACCACGTGTCTCCGGCCACTCTGAGATACTGCGCCAGTGAGCTTACTCCTGTGTTCACTGACATTTTCAACACCTCTCTGCAGTCCTGCCATGTCCCGGCCTGCTTCAAATCCTCCATCATTGTCCCCGTCTCGAAGAAGCCCAGGATCACAGGACTCAACGACTACAGACCTGTAGCACTTACGTCTGTCGTCATGAAGTCATTTGAACGCCTGGTTCTCTCCCATCTCAAGTCCTTCACCTCCCCCCTCCTGGACCCCCTGCAGTTCGCCTACAGAGCCAACAGATCTGTAGACGACGCCATTAACCTGGCCCTCCACCACATCCTACAGCACCTGGACTCCCCGGAGACCTACGCCAGGGTCCTGTTCGTGGACTTCAGCTCTGCCTTCAACACAATCCTGCCATCCCTGCTCCAGGACGAGCTCTCCCAGCTCAACGTGCCCGATTCCACCTGCAGGTGGATCACTGACTTCCTGACGGACAGGAAGCAGCGAGTGCGTCTGGGGAAGAATGTCTCGGACTCTCGGATTATAAATACAGGAGCCCCACAGGGCTGTGTTCTTTCTCCCCTGCTCTTCTCCCTGTACACCAACCACTGCACCTCCAGCCACAACTCCGTGAAGCTGATCAAGTTCACGGACGACACCACCCTCATTGGACTCATCTCCAACAACGATGAGTCTGCCTACAGGAGGGAGGTGGACCGGCTGGTGTCCTGGTGCAGTGGTAGCAACCTGGAGCTGAACGCCCAGAAGACAGTGGAGATGATTGTGGACTTCAGGAAGAGCACTGTCCCCCCGCCCCCACCCTCCGTGATGGACTCCCCCATCACCTCTGTGGAGTCCTTCCGTTTCCTGGGCACCACCATCTCTTTCTGACTGTTGCACTGAGCCAAAGCAATTTCCAAGTCTGTGACCTCCTGTTACTTACATGGCAATAAAAATGATTCTGATCCTGATTCAGAGACGCGTCAGCCAAGACAGTCCCACAACATCCAGAGACTTTAGTCAGGACGGATCTCATCCATTCCTGGCGCCTTGCCACCATGGAGGCTGCCAACCACCTTGGTGACCTCTGCCAACCACCTTGGTGACCTCTGCCAGGGAGATGGAAGTATCCGCCCCAACATCCTCAGCCTCTGCCTCCGGGGCAGAGGACGTGACGAGGGGATTGAGGAGAACCTCGAAGTATTCCTTCCACCGCCCAACAATATCCCCGGTCGAGGCCAGCAGCTCTCCACCCGCACCGTACACAGTGTTGGCAAAGAACTGCTTCCTCCTCCTGAGGCGCCTGACGGTTTGCCAGAATCTCTTCTGCAACAGCTCGGGCCGAGGCGCGCTTGGCCTGCCGATACTGGACAGCTGCCTCAGGAGTCCCATGAGCCATCATTGGACTCAATGTCCCCCTCCTCCGCCGGGACCTGGGAGAAGCTCTCCTGGAGGTGTGAGTTGAAAGTCCGTCTGACATGGGGCTCAGCGAGACGTTCCCAGAAGACCCTCACTACACGCTTGGGTTTGCCAGGTCTGACCGGCTTCCTCCCCTGCCAGCGGATCCAACTCACAACCAGGTGATGATCGGTTGACAGCTCCTCCCCTCTCTTCCCCCGAGTGTCTGAGACAAGCGGTCGAAGGTCAGATGATACGACAACAAAGTTGATCATCGACCTCCGGCCTAGGGTGTCCTGGAGCCACGTGCACTGGTGGACATCCTTGTACTCGAACATGGTGTTTGTGATGGACAAACTGTGACTGGCACAGAAGTCCAACAACTGAACACGGCTCGGATTCAGACAGGGCGGGCCGTTCTTCCCAATTACCCCTCTCCAAGTGTCACTGGCATTTCCCACATGGGCGTTGAAGTCCCCCCAGGAGAATAACTGAGTCCCCGGTTGGTGCACCGTCGAGTACCCCTTCCAAGGACTCCAAGAAGGCCGGGTACTCTGCACTGCTGTTAGGCCCGTAGGCCGTCACAACAGGGAGAGACTTGTCCCCCACCTGAAGGCGGAGGGACGCAACCCTCTCATTCACCGGGGAGAACTCCAACACGTGGCGGCTGAGATGGGGGGCAATGAGAATGGCCACCCGAGCTCGCCGCCTCTCCCCGCGAGAAACACCAGAAAAGTGGAGCGTCCAACTCCTCTCAAGGAGTTGGGTTCCAGAGCCCAAGCTGTGTGTGGAGGTGAGGCCGACTATCTCTAGTCGGTATCTCTCAGCCTCCCCCACAAGCTCCGGCTCCTTCCCCCCCAGTGAGGTGACGTTCCACGACCCAAGAGCCAGATGTTGGGTGTGTGGACTGGGTCGCCGAGGTCTCCGCCTTCGACTGCTGCCCAGTCCTCTCTGCACCGCGCCACCACGGACCCCTCTGCAGGTGGTGGGCCCACAGGAGGGACTGCCCACGTCATCCCTTCCGGCTGAGCCCGGCCGGGCCCCGTGGGCTAAGGCCCGACCACCAGGCGCTCTCATTCGAGCCCCGACCCCAGGCCTGGCTCCAGGGTTGGGCCCCGGCTGCGCCATGCCGGGCGACGTCACGGTTCTTCTGTTCGTGCTGTCCATGGTTGGCTTCTGACTGCTCTTCGTCTGACTCGTCACCCGAGACCTGTCTGCCATGGGAGACCCTACCAGGGGCATGCAGCCCCAGACAGCATAGCTCCCAGGATCACCCGAGTTCTCGAACTCCCCCACCACGTTAAGGTGGCAGTCCAGGGGCAGTCCAAAAGTGCCATATTGTTCCATATCGTGAGACGCTATAGCTCACGGGGGAGGGGGGTAGTGGGGTAGCAAAAGCTCTGTGGGTGCGGGGAGGGCGAGCAGAGAGAGGGAGCCCATCGCTCGCGTTTGAAAATGTCTCCAAATCGTTATCGACCAATATAAATTACTTATATTGTGATATAGTTTTCAGCCAAATTGCTCAGCCCTACTATTTAGATCGTGTCAGATCTGGGTCCGCATTTTGTAGGTTCCTTGACTGTTTGAGCAGACACTAGCTAAAACTGTGTTTTTTCTTTTTTGCAGCTACACAACAATAACAACAAGACTGATGGGGAAAGCGAGATTGATACCTCAGTCTTCCCACAGGTAAACTTGCTCACACAATTGTAGTAGTAGTAAGTCACTTACGTATTTGTGTTTGAAGTTTGTTTGAGCCCTTGGTGAGGTTTTGATGGAGGATGAAGGTTACTAGTCTGTGATTGAGAGTAGTGTAAACCTGGGTCCTTTACACTTTTTATTACATAGTTACATTTGATGTAATTTAGGAGTTAACTTATAGTCCTCATATGGACATTCACAGAAACAAGATATGTGCTCAATAGAAGGTGAATCACTATTGTATGTATGTATGCCAATAGGTTTTAAAGGGCAGTATGTCATATTTTCATTAAATTACATCTAAATTGTATTTACATTTCACAAAAATGTACATGACACAAATCATATTTGATAATATCACATATTATCACATTCTAAACAAATGTTTAAAGTGTATTGTTATTAATGTTTACAATATTCATTTAGATTTCATTTAGCAGAAATCCATTTTTGCTAGGTGAAATTTAGCTGGTTTTATATTTTGTACTGTTTCTAACTAAACCCCAGCTGGTGGATTGCATCAGTGATTAGTGTTTAGGAGCTAAACGTGTCACAGACAAGATTCTGTGAACAAAAGTGTAATTGTAAAAAGTTTTACATCAGTAATAGTGAATATCACATTACTGATGTTTTTAATGTCACATTGATTTTTCTGCAGATGTTCTGTAACATGGATGAAGGTTCTGCCGCCACTGAGTTTCAAGAAGCGAACTCTGCACCACTGCCGGGCTTTGATTCTTTTACTGCCGTCTCTATGGAACTAGGATTCATGGGTCCACTTTCAATGAGGATCAGCAGCAATGAGATGGCTTCCCCACTGGAACCCAATAATCTCTGTCCTGGTAATTCATTACAAAACTCTATGGATTCATCTTCAAGCGGCTCACTTCCTTCGTTCAAAAATAAGGCCACAGTTGTCCTAACTCCAGAAACGGAACCAAACAATTTATTACCTGGTAGTACATCACAAAACTCTCCGGATCCCTCTTCCAACAAGGCAACAGCTACGGCGAAGATAACAAGTTTTCAAAAGTACAAGAAAAAGCAATACTGTCCTTTTTGTCAAAAACCTTATTACAAGCTGTCAAGACATCTTAAAAATGCCCACAAAAATGAGCGGGAGGTTGCACTGGCTTACAGTTATGAGCAGGGCTCCAAGCAAAGAAAATTTATCTTGGGATCTCTTATGAAAAGGGGAAACTTCTCCCACAATGCATCCGTGAAGTCCTCTGGTGTCGGAGAGCTGGTTCGCTGCAGACGATCAAAAAGTCCTGATGATTTGGTGTACTGCAAGTTTTGTTTGGGGCTTTATGCAAAAAACCATCTTTGGAGACACGTGAAGAACTCCCACTCGGAGGAATATGTTCGGAGGAGAAAGAAGCGTCCCGCAACCATCAACGATGAGGCCTCTCTTCTGCTTTTGGAGGAATCGTTCTACAATCCATTCACTCAAGGTGAAATTAAGAATGGATTGCGTTCATGTGGCATCACAACATTCCAAAGAGGCTATAGTTTACAGGGGGTTTTTTTCCCCGTAGTAAGTGCCAAAAGCCAGATTCTAGTGTTCATTTAGAGCATGTGTCAAACACAATACTCTTTTTAGTCGTTCCTAAAAAATGTATTGCCGGCGTAACGGTGGTTTGCACTGCTACTGTTTTGATATCGGTACCTTTCTTCTCGAGTTGAACGGCTGCATACGTAATTTTACTGACGTAGGTCGATGACGCGTCCTATGGCTAACTCAACAGCTAATAATCAATGCTTACAATTTAGATTTTGTTTATTATTTCCATTATCAACCTGACAGACCAGTTGCATGCTAACAGCTGTCAAGTTATGCCGCGTTCAGACCGGATCATGTGTTGCGTCTGCTTTCAATGCAAAGTCAATGGTGACGCGCGTTCGAGTGTCACAACGCACGGACCTCTTGGCACACACGCACGGACCGCCCAGTAGAGACGTACGGACTTGGCGGGAAAGTCAAAAGGGAGGAGCAGGAGCGGAAAATGGGCGCCCACAGGAAATAAACTTTGCTCAATCCTTTCCTCGGGACGTTCACACAGCGACCAATCAGAGCTGCAAAATGGTCACGGGGACATTAGTGGTCTGAGTGAGCAGACTGAACATACTGTAAACAGCCAAAACAGGAGCTACATCAGGACTAAACCAGGGTTGACAATGGGGGACACTGCGCTTGTGAATATATGCGTTGTCATGCTCCCGTGACCTTATGCAACTGCTTTGAGTGTGTTCGCCGATGCGGAAACACCGTTTAATAATACAAAAAACGTATGGCCCACCTCTGTGAACACATACTACTGTTATATAAAGTCCGTGGAAGGTCTCTGAACAAAGACATGCTGAAAAGCTGCATATTGGAGAAGATCTGTACACAAGAAGCCGCTAGCATAGCTCTGTTAGCATTAGAGCCGGGCGGCTACTTCCGGCGCTGGCCAGAACGTTCTGGTGTGAAGACCTCTGCGTCTGAAAACTAGAGAATGCGCGTCTGGTGAGCGGGGCTTCAGCATTTGAGCGTTTGCGGTCTGAATGCACCATTAGCCACAGAGCGTTATCAAAACAGTAGCAGTGTGGTGTCACAGGAGCAGTTGACTGCTTAAAACAAACTTTACACGAAACTTTGATTCTTAAAACACACATATTAAAACATAGCACCATCAATATCTCGCCTCAGATTGCATCAAAAGTGACATTTGTGTCTTTATTCATTCATATTTAAGAACTTTTAAAGCAATTCACCGCCATCTTGGTTTGCTTTGGCTGCCGTGAGAAGCGCATGCACGGGTTTGCATTACATCATAAACAGCATCTCAACAAGGCAGTGCAAACCGACGTTACACCGGCATTATTCCTTTGGCACCATTGATGTTAAGGGGTACCATGCCATATTTTACCTATTAGCTAAATAGATTATTTTCTGAAGAATACACACATCAGTTATTTGATTCTAGTTTGAACCCAACAAGCAATTAGAACTGGTTGGGCCAATGATTTTAATATTTGATTTATTGGTTTACAATTACAAGCCTTCCTTCCCTCCAGTTCTGGCTTAATCTAATCCAAACAGTAGCTGAAGTAGTATCGGAATTATAAAACTATATCCACACTCATGTTAGACATTTGCCAAAAGTCCCCAGTGTGCACAGGACAAGTATGTATATAAAACAAGGTTAGAAATATAGATTGTATTCTGTCCACAAAAAAGTTCTTCATCTTTATCAGCACATAACCAATGGTCTCCCTTAAAGTCAGTAGAGAGACCTTCCAGACACAAGACTGTGGATGGTTTGGGAATCTTATCACTGTCAAATCTAGGAGAACTTTTTCTAATAGTTGTATTGACACCTGCCTCATATTCTAGAACATGAACGCAGCCTATTGTATTTTATTGGACTTTAATTCTCTTTGTATACATTTTACATACCTTTCCGTAAATCTGCTTCCCCCATTTAGGTGACATGAAGTTGGGTGAAATTGGAGCTGGAAGCGATTTAGAAAAACTGATTGAAGGTATGCAGCCTCATACGCTTTGTTCATCCTTGTTTAGCTTTAATATCCTTCTGTCTGTTCTGTCCTTGCCACTCCTTGTGGCAAGGGCTGTAATCGCTGTTGGCAGCTTTAAATTTATCATAGCATTCCCAAATTTTCACACAATTTGTGTCAGGGTGTCTACTTTCCAAACGTTGAAAAAAAAAGCATTTCCGTAAAATTACGTTTGTGGCACTTGTGTTAATAAAAAAATGTATTCCCTGGTGCCATAGATTGTCATACTGTAGCAGACAGACACATGTCATGTCCTCTAAGTTATCCAATCTTGTGGTTAAACTATAATGTAAGAGAGGCTTCTACCCTGACGATGTTCAAATCCAGATTTAAAACAGTTCTATTTAGCTGTGCAACTCTTAAAGGTCGCATATTTTATATTTATTATTCAGTCCATCCAAGTACACGTGTGATAATATTTTGGGTGATACATCATACAACACTCAAAACTTAAATAATTATAGCCATTTCTTGCAAAGGGGTGAGGTAGCACTGTAATCATGTTTAAAGTGCAGACAAGTGTAATATGGGACCTTTTTAATGTACATAGCCTTAGCTATATAAACTTGCCAAATAGGCCATTTGAACGGCCAAACAGCAGTAATTGTGCAGTATATATATATTTTTTAAGGTTTTGACACGATCAGAGAGACATTAGAGTCAACACAAAGTGAAATTAATGGTAAAATATATTCTTACTTTTTCAACATGTCTTTTTATTTTGTTGGTTGTTTTTTTTAATCTTGTATGACGGGGGCTTTTTGTATGTAACATGCCAAAATGGTTAATTTTAATATAATGGGCTCAGAGAAATTCTGTATGAAACACCACTTTCCAGTTTTACGTTTACAAGAAAATTTATAATTTGTATGTACTGCTTCAGTTTTTTTCACTTGCATGCCACTGTATATAGCCAACAGAAGCATTTTATCCAGGGTTGTGTAATAATTTATCATATTCTATTTTATTTAAGCTTCTTTTAATGAGACTTTCCTCGAAGAGATGTCAGAGTCAACAAAGGATATGAATGTATTAAATGGTAAAGTAGAATCTATTACTACAGGTTTGACTAGTTTCATTTGTGTCTGACTGAAGCCTGACGCTTTTACAGATTCACAAAATGACGCGTCAGTTACAGAAAACACGTCTGAAGCAACTTTGTCTGAAGCAACTTTGTCTGAAGCTACGGCGTCTGAAGCTACGGCGTCTGAAGCTACGGCGTCTGAAGCTACGGCGTCTGAAGCTACGGCGTCTGAAGCTACGGCGTCTGAAGCTACGGCGTCTGAAGCTACGGCGTCTGAAGCCACGGTGCCGTCTGAAGCTACGGCGTCTGAAGCCACGGCGTCTGAAGCCACGCCGTCTGAAGCCACGCCGTCTGAAGCCACGCCGTCTGAAGCCACGGTGTTTGAAGCGCTAAGTTGCAGCGTTCCAAAGAAAAGTAAGTGATCTTTTCATGAATAGTTGTTTGTGACATAACAGACTGACATGTTACTACTGTACTTCTGAGAGATGGACGGACACTGTTGATCCCACGAGGGGAAAGTTCTCGTTTAAATCCGATAAAGGCAACAGACTTACTTATTTGATCACATTAATGAACAATCACATACACTACACTTGTGGTAAATGTTCTAGATCAGCCATTCCCAAAGTCAGGAACACTGGGGCCCCCTTAAAAATCTGACGGGTCTGCGGGGCCCCCCGAAATAATAACCAAAGAAAATAGGCTCTTCTCGTTATTTTATTTGGGGGATATAACCTCTGCTACAAACGTGTAAATGACCATTCCCACTTTGTAATACACAAATGATTACAATTTGATGATTCAAGTCAAATAATGAACACAAATATTGTAGTATTACAAACAAAATATTGTTAATTTAACATACAATAATTATATAACACTTTTTTTTTTTTTTTTGATGACCTCTTGCGGCCCCCCTGCAGTACGGTGGGCCGCGGACCCCACTTTGGGAGACACTGTTCTAATCTAGATCATAGAAAAACTCACAAACAAAAACTCTAGTCCTGATGCAGGTCACACAAGTCTTAACTATGTACGAATACAAAACACAAAATAAAAACAACATATTCCATTTGAGTCAAACATTTTGAAGGATTGATTGATTGGATCCATTTACAGTAAAGACACTTTTAAAAATAATAATAAATGTATGCTGTTTATAAGGAGTCAACTCTGTGTTCATTGTTGACAGCAGGGATAAAAATGTATGATTAGAAATGTGGATCTTGTCGTCACATTGGTTAGAGAACGCTTATTGTGCCAAATTAGTTTTTAACCATGCTTTTTGAATGTTTCCTTGTCTATCCAAAAACATACACTTGTTTTTCCAGCTCAAAAAATTAGTTAAGATCATAAATTCTTATCTCAGAATTTCTGCGCTACATTTATGCAACTTGACAAACAAAATCCTCTTTCCTTTCATGCGTTTTCATGAGTTATTTACAGTTGTGTTCGTCAATGAGTCTTTTTAAAGTACTTTTTATAACTTTTTATTTGTATTTTCAGATAAGATTGTAAACCAAACAGAAGGCAGAGACAGCGGTGTTGGAGTAAATAAGAGATAACTTTTGCCTAGCGTACATCGGACTGGCAAATGATTATATCCGTCGCATATGAGTTGGTGCCCCGCACACATCGACAATCTGGCAAAAACGGGCAACTCCCAGTAGCAGACCAGTCTTGGGAATAACAGCGTGTACATCGACGTCAACTACAGTGTGTTTTCTGGCTTAAACTGTAGAGGGCGTGCAAAACACCCAATACACATGTTGTTGGAGCGCGCACATCGGGTGATATCTCCGGATCTGAGTACAACTAGTTGCCGAAAAGTAGAACACGGGCAACTGACTGAAACTGGAGATCGACTGTTTATCTCCAGTTGTAAGAGCGCTCACATCGACCGATTTTGGCAACTGATCGTCTCCATCATCTACTCTCAGTTGATGGGGAGATGTCAGAAAACACACTGTAGTTGAGGCCAGTTGCTGTCGATGTACGCGCTGTTATTCCCCAGACTGGCCTGCTACCCGGAGTTGCCCGTTTTCGCCAGATTGTCGATGTGTGCGGGGCAGCAACTCATATGTGACGGATATAATCAGTTGCCAGTCCGATGTACGCTAGGCATTAGACTCTGTTCATCTGTTGCTATTATGAATAATAGAATAACACTCAAGGCCTTCCCTCACCAGCCTTTTCTTATAAAGTCTGGGATCTTTAATCTTAGACAGAAATGTTCTGGACTATGTTGGTCCTTGGCTGCTCAATTTTGGAATTTAGTTTAAGCTTTTCTAGAACTTTTACTTGGTGAAAATTCTCAATTGAATTTTGATAAGATTAAGAGATCCTTTATTCGTCCCACAGTGGAGAAGTTTCAGTGTTGCATCACAAGTTATAGAACAGTAGGAAAGAGCACACGGCACAAGATAAGTGAACAATAGCTTTACTAGTTAAAATAAAACAAAAACTCTAACTCTAGCATCAATAAAAGTCTAAAATCCCTATCTTGAGAATAATAATACAAAGTAGTATAAAAGTTTTACATTTGGCAAAACAAGAGGCAAGTATAAAGTACTGTGTATTCTAGTGCAGAATGTAGCTATGTTTACAGCTGTACATTAGCAGCAGTATGTTTACAGCTGTACATTAGCAGCAGTATGTTTACAGCTGTACATTAGCAGCAGTTTGTTTACAGCTGTACATTAGCAGCAGTATGTTTACAGCTGTACATTTGCAGCATTATGCTTACAGCTGTACATTTGCAGCAGTATGTTTACAGCTTTACATTAGCAGCAGTATTTTTACAGCTGTACATTAGCAGCAGTATGTTTACATCTGTACACAAGCAGCAGTATGTTTACAGCTGTACATAAGCAGCAGCAGTATGTTTACAGCTGTACATGTCAGCAGCAGTATGTTTACAGCTGTACATGTCAGCAGCAGTATGTTTACAGCTGTACATGTCAGCAGCAGTATGTTTACAGCTGTACATGTCAGCAGCAGTATGTTTACAGCTGTACATGTCAGCAGCAGTATGTTTACAGCTGTACATGTCAGCAGCAGTATGACACTTTGTAGGTGGGTTCAAAAGGATCTTTAACTCCAATGTTCAGGTGCAGCACACTGAAACCTTATTTTGGATTTAAGTTCAAAAGAACGTATGAGTGTTCCCTATTTGACCACCCACATTTTTGCTGTGTTCCAAATTGATGAAGAATCTAGGCAAGGTTATATGTATAGCACAGACATTCATAGACAAGGAAACTCAAAAGTGCTTCACAAAAACAAGACATTAAAATCATCAATAATCACTGTACATTCAAAAGTGTAAATATAGCTTTTCAGAACCGTTTATGACTTGGATTTGAGGAGAAGCCTGTCTCACATTTTCAGGAAGACTGTTTTAGCTGCATAAATCTGAAACGCTGAAATCTGAAAGTTTATTTCTGACTCAGGAAAAGACACAGAGCTGCTTTAAAGTCTATTCTAACGACAATCTTTCAGTTAAAATCCAATGAAACTTTTTTTTTTTGTATTTGAATTGTACATTTCCCATCAAACCATTTCTAAACATTGAATTATTTCATTTTTTTAAGATGGGAAGAAAATGAAGCGGCGGTGGACTGGAGAAGAAGTGGCCGCGGTGCAACGCCACATGACGGACTTCATTGCACGATGCCGAGTCCCAGGGAGGAAATTCTGTGACCAGTGCCTTAGATCAGAACCAGAAGCGCTGAAGCGAAGAGACTGGCGGGACATCAAGAACTTTGTCCACAATCGGATCATGGCATCGAAGAAGAAGACCAGATGAATAGAATTGGTAACACTGACCCCGAGGTCTGTGGATCTTTCCAGTTGCTGCATGCGATTGACATTTTGTAGCGGGTAACTACGGTTCCAGCGCCGCTCTTGTTTCCATTTTTACTGTGGGAGGGGCGACCTGCGAGAGATCGGTGTGGGGGGGGTCATTCATTTGCATTCCATGTAGTGAAAATGGAGAAAAAAGCTAAAACTTGGTAATTTACACACTGGAAAAGGAACATTATGGATAGAGCACAGGCGAGCCACTGCTGCTGGCTTGATTACGCCCTCTAGTGGAGCTCCGGGTACAGGTAAAACACAAAGGTGGGGGCTGGGCATAGCAGTGGGCGTGGACTAAGGAGAGAGGGAGGGAATCTCTAATGTAAATATGCACTTTATTTATCACTGTAGGGAACTTTGTCCTCTGTATTTGACCCGTCCTGGAATGACACTTGGGCCCGCTAACCCATCTCCAGATGTTTATGCTCGGTTCGGTCTGGACTACTCGAGCTGGAGGATTTACCTATGGTTTTGGAGACGACGTGAGGCAAAAGTGCATAGATCTGGGATGTTGAAGTATGCATCCGGTAACGTAACGACATGCAGTAGTCTCTCACTAAAGCACTTCACCTTTTGCGGTCTCGCTGTTTCGATGTTTTTTTTTTTAAAACAATTTTGCTGGCTTTTCTTCATACATGATACCTCTCAGCTTGGTGGTTGGGTGAAGCCATTTATTGTCAAAGAATGGTACAAACCTTAGTGATTGAAAGGTAGAAAAGTTTTTTAATATGTTTCCTTGTATAATGAAACACAAACGGCCCAAACAACTTTTGATTCCATTTGATTGTGAAGCCCTAATTCACAGCAGCAGTGGTCTTCTGAGGACTTTTTACAATCTTGTCATTTCGCCTAAGTGAATATACACTCTGTGTACGTCTCATACATGCACACACACACACCACACAGTTGTTATCATTGTCTGCATAAAGATGGTTTAAATGGCTCAAGTTCAGTTTCTTTTATTAGAATTCTATTTAAGAATTTTATTCTATGTTGCCAAATGGTTCCTGAACTAAACAAACTCATTAGTTTAGTTTTTATGTTGATTTCTTTCTGTTTATTATTTTGATATTCCAAAAAATAGTCGTCACGCTCACTAAAAAGTCTTTGAGATCCAAAGAACTGATTACTTTTGAGGCTTTCAGATCAATGTTTATGAACTTGTGTGAGATTATTTTATCAACTTCATGGTAAATGTCCAGATTTGAATATAATAAATCAACACATGTTTAAGTGATTTGAAAAATAATTTATTTTTTTAAATAATTTGTTTTACTACTTGATTTTTGTCTTTGTACTTATTTATCATATACTGTCTCATTATCTCTTTATTCCCCAAAATTTCTTGTGTCTGTCGTCTCCACAATTAGATAATTGTTTTTTTTAATTGGTTGATGCCACTCCCACCGAAAGATCAAGGCTGTTCTGTCACTGACACAACAGCCATCCTTGTGTGGACTCTCCACCTGCAGGAGGATCCGTGAGAGGCTGGTGCTCTGTGAATTGAGTGGCAGCTCTGGCAGGTTGATGCCAAAACGGCAGCTATCAGCTGGACCAAGTTTGCAGGATTTGACTCTTGATATATTTGTTATTAGAGCCTTGTGAGTCACTAATTGACACTTTGGCTGAGACTTGATATGGAAAAACATAGGACCAACCTTTCTCATTCACTTTTCTGTCTGCAAAAGCTAAAGCTTGGACAAAGGGGAAAATACGTGCATGTGAAAGCTAATGCTGAATTAGTTACATTAATTTGATAGATGGATCCACTGAAATCTGTATTTCAGGTGTTTGCTCTGAAATGCTGATTCTTTCTTGTTCTTTCAACGTGTTGTGACCATTCCAGCCTTCTTCATACTTTGATGGATCCAATTTTATATCAAGTCCTACTCTAATCATGTTTTTTTCTGCCTCCAGCCTCAGCTACAAAAGACGTTGCTGGAATGTGCCAGGTCAGAATCACTCACATTTCTCTTTTCCTGTCAGTTCTAATGATTCAGTGTTTATGTAACATGACTCCCTTTGCATTGTCCTCAGATTCAAAAAGCCGGACAGCGCTTTCCTTCCCACTCCCAGTGAATGCAAGGCGTTCCAAGCGCGTCTCCGTGACATTACCAAAGACATGCCGGAGGAGGAGCGTCCGCTTATTGCGTTCATGGGACTGGATCAAGACATCGAATTTGTCGATTGTGCTCTGGGAAAAGTCCCCAAAGGCTGCCCGCTGTCCTATCACTACCCGTTACCTTCCGACAAGGATTTCCAACCCCATGATGACGCACCTCCGCAGCCCTGTCTCCCACTACAAAGCCAAACGGTTCCACACTGCGACATCCCCATGCTCTTGGCTAATGAGAGAGATTTCTTGAACAAGATGACCTTAACATGGGAAGCCGCCTACTATCTGGAAATCTCTACGCGCCAACAAGAAGACTTTAGCCAAGAGGTGCAAAATGGTCGCTTGGTCGGATGGTTCGCAGACCTATTCCTCCTCAAAGACAAAGATGATAGCGGCGAACGTCTGGCCTTGAAGATTAAACGCCCCAAACGCGTGGGCAAGCAAGCCACAATTGAAAAGGAGGAGCGCATCGAAGTCTTGCGAGAATACTGCCGTCTTACGAACAAGAACTGGTACCCCTGCGGATTAGCGGTGCATCCGAACGCTCCGTGGCTCGCGGCGAGTCCAGACGGGTTGATCTACGACCCCTCGGAGGACACCGCGTTCGGGATCATTCACGTGAAGCACGTGCCTCTGCCCACCTTCAGTTCAAGCAAGTTGGTGTCGGTGAAGGAGGGCGCGCTGCACGTGAACACGAGGAGTGCGGTCTACAGGCGTATTCAGGGCGAGCTGCTGGTGACGGGAACGCTGTGGTGTGACCTGCTGTTGTGGACCACAGACTACATGCTGATCCAGCGCATCTACAGAGACGCAGACGTCATCGACACGCTCAAAACCAAGTCTGACAAGTTCTTTTTTCAATACTACCTGCCCAGTCTGTGCCCAAGAGAGGAGCTGCCGAACCAGAATGAGAATGAGGGTGAAATGAGGAAAGACCAAGACATGGCCAGCACTGCTCCGAAACTCTCGGACTTCCAAGAGTAAAGCGTGATGCTGCTGAAGCTCAGGATAGGCCAGATGTGTCTAATATAGGGCTTCGTTGTTGCGCCTACAGATGTTGCTTGGTTTGCTTTTGAAAATGATCCAATGTTAGCTTGTTAGTTAATAGTTATCTGAAAAGATTAGAATAGCTTTTTTTTCCTATTGCTTGACTTTTAGTTTTATTTTTTATTAACACCGCAATGGCATTCTCATTGAAAGGCCGCAGTTTCATGTTTGTATACGTTTCACGAAGTGTTGTGCCATGCGATAGTTTTAAATGAAAAAGCTTTGCTCAAAAAGGTTGGGTAACACTGCCCCTTGAAGCCTGGAGACTACAGTGAGTCCATGCCTCTATAGAGCGATGTGATTTGAGTTGAGTTGGTTGATACCAAATCAGATGGGAGTCAAATTATGTGAGCGTGAGGCAGATGACCATTTTTCAAACCTGTTCCAAGTTATTATACACCCTGGACAAGAGCTTTGATCCTGCTCTTAAAGCTGGGGTACTTCACTTTCTTAAATAACATGTTTGTTCCAACTAAACAAGGACTGAAAAAAACATTGCTCCAAATCTTCTAATCATCTTACAAATATTTATACAGAGTTAAAATCTTTGGAAACAGTTTCATAAAAGTTGTTTTACTATATGTATCAAAATGGGACATTCTCAGGGCTAAGCCAGTTTGTTTGTATGTAAATATTTTCATTTTTTCAAGACAGTTTGTGCTTTTAAATAAAAATGAGTTTCGACTTTAATGTTGTTGTGTTGCCTGTTTTATCCCTACAGGGGGCGCAGTTTCTTCGGCTGCGCTGCCACATGTTTCTCCGGTTGCCACAACAGACATTTTTCCTACACTTTGGGCTAACAATTCAACTGGATAACAGTTTACGTTTGTGGATTCTAAGCACTTCTTTAAGTCGTAATATGAGTACAAGTCTGCTTTGAAACCCACTCAGTGTCTTGGGATTTTTACAGCATTCTGATTGAAAAAAAAAAAAGTTTATTTGAATCAGAATGCTGGAAAAACACAAGATACTCTGAGTAGGCTTCAAAGCGGAGTTCATTTTATACATATTTTTTCTAGTTAAATTTTTGTGTGGGTCTAATAAATTCAAAATGGTTCTCAATAAACTCATCACATCTTAAAAACATATGAAATTGAATTGTGGTCTCTGCACTGGCTTCCTGTGGCTCAGAGATTAGGCTTTAAAACAGCCCTGTTTGTTACAAGTCTCTCCATGGCCTCGGACAAAAGTACATCTGTGACATGTTAGTGCCATATGAACCAACTCTGAGGAGCACACGGACTGACCACCTGCTGGTGCCCAGAGCTAAACATGGGGAGGCAGCATTTCAGATTTATGTAGCTAAAATTCGGAACAGTCTTCCTGAAAATGCAAAACTGGCTTCTACTCTGACAATATTCACATCCAAGTTAAATCATTTCTGTTTGGCTGTGCATACAACTGAAGGACTTTACGTTCACTATCTTTAATGTTCTGTATTAAGGATTGTAATGCCTTGTGTGATTGCTTCCATCTTGTTTTCTTAAGCACTTTGAGTTGTCTTTACTATGACCTGTGCTATACAAATATCCGGTCTATTTCTGACATTTTTTTTACACAATACCCCTTTAGCGCGTCAGCTTATTTCACACTTAACACTTTAAATACATTTTCATTATTTTCCATTCTAGTTTAAAACGCTATTACATGACGTGTGCTCTTAGAAGATAATTTCTCCTACTCTATCTGGCAACTCGCTATCTCCTGTGCCTCTGACGCAACATCACCAGTGCGTTTTTACCAAACACATACAACGCGTATTTATTTCCAAGGCTTTCCTCCTCTCCCCAGTCCTCTCTGCGCCGCGTGCCTTGCGTCTAACCACTCCACACACCGGGATTCGAACATATTCCCGCACGCATGTCTCCTCTCTCTTAGCGGATGCAGTAGTTTTGGACTCTGTATTTATCTCCCCTAACCCCCCCAAACCCTCGTGTCCTCGTCTTCTGTCTGCGCGCTTTCCCCGTCGCGTTTTTGCGGTAGTTTGTGGTGCTGTGTTTTTGGCGCAGTTATGGCGCTGAATAAGACGCACGTCAGTATCGGGTATGCGACTTTCGGGACCATCATGGGATTCTCTGCCTTTCTGGTGTGGAACATCGCGTACGGACAGGCCTGGACCGCGGCCATGGGGGGGCTGTCAGGTAAACACTGGGCTCTGTGCGCGTGGAAAAGGAGAAAAACAGCCCCAGCTCTTTAAAACAGCATGTGTTTTAGATCAGAGACGAAAAGAGCGTAACATTTAGTCATGTTAGTACTGTGGCCGTTTTTCTTATCAAGAGAATTTAACTAGATAGATGGATGTTTGTAGTATTTATTTTTTTTTTTTTACTTGCCATAAGTACGTTTTAGTATTTGTAGTTTGACGTTTGTATAGCCCTAAATCATAACATATTTACAAACAAACAGTTCCAACACAAGAAATTCAAGGATAAAACACACATAGAGCCATTGGACCATTTAAGGGGCAGAGGACCAATGAATGTTGATTTGTTTTGTTTTTTTATCCATACATGTTTTTCAAGTATATTCCAGTGTTGCATCACAAGTTACAGAAGATAGGGGAGTATATAAAAACAAAATCTCAATCTGTAGCGTTAAAGCAGTATAAAAAAATACATACACATCTGGGGTATCCTGTATACTCTTGTGCATAGACATACATACTTTATGCATGTATTTAGTGATAATCTCGGAGGGTTCAAATATGCACACTGAGGATTGTACTGTAATATTTAAGCAGTAGGAAAACTTTACTTTTCTCCTTTGTCTACTTTTTGGTCTTGGCAACAGTTGGTCAGGAGGTCTGAATAGTGTTTCTATCATGTTATTAGTGTGTGACTGTTTGGATCAGATTAAACATATCCCTATTTATAGAATGATAAAGACTGTAAACATGGCTAAATCCTAGTTTCTGAATGTTGTTTTCTGCAGGATATATCTGGACGATTAAATGAATAACACAAAAGATTCACAGGAACAGCATTATGTAACTTTGCTTCAGTTTGAACCCGAACTTTGAGACGTGTTTGTCCGCTGACCTCAAAAACACTTATGACAGAAGTCACTGTTGCGTATCTCCTCTTTTATCTATTTGTGCCAGATCCAAGCCTGTATAAACTGACTTGGACACATACAGTATACAAACTTTGGCTGCTACTACTACTACTGCAACTGCTGCTACTATTACTGCTGCTGCTACTCCTAGAACTACTACTACTGCTGCCACTGATACTACTGCTATTACTACTGCTACAACTGCTACTACTTCTACTGCTGCTACGGTTGCTACTTCTACTTCCCCAACATGGACAGAGACATTTTCTGCCATTCAAAAAGATTACAGCATGCCTTTTGCCAGATAAGCTAATTTTGTTTTAATTATCTGCCACTAGACTGGATCTGGTGCTGGCCATTTTATCTTATATTACCCAAGAAATAATTTCAGAAAAAATAAAAAGGTTTAAATGGTCTTTTAAGGTACAAAGAAAAAGTGCAACCGATGTGTATCTAGTTTTCTGTAATAGAGAAAAATCCAAACATTTTCTTCCCCTTTGTCCATTTCTGGGTCTGGGGGGCGGCAGTCACTCTGGGAAATTGTTTGAATACATGTCTCCTATCTAATTATATATTCAATCTAATCAATGCTTCGTCCAATACACATCATTCCGAGATCTTTTCAATGTTTTAGTCCCATTTTATTTGTCCACACATCAGCAACTGTGTCGTTTGTCTCTTTCCTGCTGTTGAAACGCTTTGTTAATCTTATCTGCGAGTCATCTGACGTCTGCGTGAAATCGCTCGGTTCATTGTGTCACGTTCTGTTCAAGTCGAAAAAGCAGAAACTCATGACAAATATGTGACTTTGCAGATTGTAAAACGCCGGGTCATCGTTCACACAGAAAAGGTTATACTAGATTAAGTAACTTTCTCTGGGACCATTTCTCTTTGTTTTGGACGAAAGGGGGAAGTTGGTCACGAGTGCAGTTTCTTTGGAAAGCTGCAGAGTTTCACGGTCATCTCTGGATTTTGAACTTTAAAAAATCCATATGTGATATTCACTTCCATTCAATTTATATTTGTATAGCCCTAAATCACAACAGCAGGCATGTCGGACAATGCAAAGTTGTTGATTCGTCAACCGTACGACCTGGGGACCGGGGGTTTTTGGGTTTTTTTCTCGGTGGGAATGAGGCTTCTGACATCAGTGGCTCAATATTATTTATCTGATACAATTCTAATCTCAATATTGATCTCAAACAATGAAATAATAGACAAGTCCACATACTTTGGTATATAGGGTTCCCACTCTTCTAGCGTCACCGGGAGAGAGCAAGATGGCGCCGGGTCAGGGCGCCTCAGTAAGAGCTCTGGTGTGCACTGTCTGTTCTATGTTGTTTATATTCGTCTGTGATACACTTGCCACCGTGAAGTACGACCGAGAGACACTTCTCTATATTCAGGACCGAGCTTGCGGAGTATCGCAGGGCTTACCCGAACTGAGGTGCTTGGACTTCATTGAGTGCCCCACTCGTGAGGCCCGTCAAACATGGCAGGCGGGCCGCGGCAATGGCCGCGAACAGAGCGGGGGGACTGGGCGTCTCCACCGTGCTCTCCGCGGTGTGGAGCTGGGTACCGGGAGCCAACGTAGGAGGCGCAGACACCGGGGAAAACGAGGCGGTCTGCTCGTGAGATGCCGCTCCTGCAGGACCGCTCTGCCCTCCATCTACATGGCGAATGTACAGTCTCTGCCCAATAAGACGGACGAGCTCCTGTGTCGTATCCAGAGCCAGCGAGAGGCCCGAGACTGCGCTGTGTTCTGTCTCAGCGAGACGTGGCTCCACACGAACGTCCCGGACTCTGCTGTTCAGCCCCCGGGATTCACCGCTCACCGCGCGGACAGAGAAAAGGAGACCACGGGGAAATCCAGAGGTGGAGGTGTGTGCTTTTTAATTAATCAGCGCTGGTGCACGGATACTCGCATCGTGAACCAAACATGTACTGCCAATCTGGAATGCCTGGTCTTGAGCTGTCGCCCTTTTTATCTTCCGCGGGAGTTTTCTGTGATATTTTTATGTGCTGTTTACATCCACCCACGAGCGGACTATACTGTAGCACTACAGGATCTGAGCGAGATCCTTCATAAATACGAGACTGCTCATCCTAATGCAGTGATCATTGTCGCTGGGGATTTTAACAAATGTAATTTAAACATTTCTACCAACATGTGACTCGAGCTACAAGAGGAGCACAGATCCTGGATCACTGCTACAGCAATGTGAAGGGAGCTTACAGGTCCAGTCTCAGACCTCCATTTGGAAAGTCCGACCACTCCTCTGTTCTCCTTCTTCCCTCATACACTCAGAGGAGCAGGGAACATAAACCAACCTCTCGCACTATGCAGTGTTGGTCTGAGGAGGCTAGCATGAAGCTACAAGGTTGTTTTGATGCCACTGACTGGTCTGTGTTTCAGTCAGAGGATGTTAATGAATTCTGTGACGCTGTGTCTGGATACATACGCTTCTGTATTGACTGCTGTGTCCCACAGAAGGTCATTAAAGTACATCTCAGTCAAAACCCTTGGATGAACACGGAAGTGAAACAAAAACTTCATGAGCGTGTTCTGGCGTTTCAATCTAACGATACAGTTGCCTATAAGCTATCCTGTTACGCATTGAAACGTTCTATTAAATCTGCAAAGCGCAGTTACGGGGACAGGTTAAAGGGTTATTTCAAGGAAGATGATCCTCGGCGCATGTGGAGCGGTATTAAAGCCATCACGTCCTGGAAACCTAGTGCTGGGAAAATCGGATCTGTTGGCCCAGCTCTGCCTAATGAGCTGAACTCGTTCTACTGCTGCTTCGAATCTGCTGATGCCTGTCCTACTGTCTTTCCTGATTGTCTCAATCATGGTGCGTTCACCGTGACTCAGGAGGTAGTCCAGCGGGTCTTGTCCAGCACCATTGTCCGGAAAGCCCCTGGCCCGGACGGCATCCCACCCCGTGTCCTGAAACTGTGCTCTGAGCAACTTGCCCCTGTTTTAACAGACATTTTTAACCTGTCGCTAAGGAACTGTACTGTGCCGAACTGCTTCAAAGAGTCGACCATTATCCCAGTTCCTAAGAAAACTCCTGTGACATGCCTTAATGACTATCGTCCTGTGGCCCTCACTTCTGTCCTAATGAAGTCTTTTGAGCGGCTTGTGCTGGACTTCATTAAGAGCCAGGTCCCTGTGAGTGTTGACCCGCTCCAGTTTGCTTACAGACAGAACAGGAGTGTGGAGGATGCCCTCTCATTTGCTCTGAACTCTGTCTACAGTCACTTGGACACTAGTAAATCTGTTGCGAGAATGCTTTTCATCAATTATATCTCTGCTTTTAACTGCCTTGTCCCAGGTAAACTGATGGAAAAGCTCATGTCTCTCGGTTTAAGTGTTGCCATGTGTAAATGGATCTATAGCTTTTTAACTGACAGATCTCAGAGAGTGAAAATCAATGACTGTTTTTCAGATGTTGTTTCTGTGAGCACTGGTTCTCCTCAGGGTTGTATTTTGAGTCCTTTACTTTTTACATTGTACACTCATGATTGTGTGTCTTCCTCAGACTCTAACCTGATCCTTAAATATGCTGATGACACCACCATCATCGGTCTCATCAGTGATAACGATGAATCGTCTTATAGAGCCGAGATCCAAAACGTGGTTCAGTGGAGTAAGGCTAACAACCTCCAGTTGAACGCATCCAAAACATGTGAACTGGTCTTTGATTTTAGTCGCAATAGTTCTCACTTGCCTGTCGCAATCGACAACTCCCAGGTGCAGATCGTAGAGGAGTGTAAGTTTCTGGGTTTAACTCTGTCTAATGACCTGAAATGGGTTAAAAACACTGACCGAGTCGTTAAGAAAGCTCGTCAGCGTCTCTACTTCCTGCAGAAACTTAGAGAATTTACCACTAACTCTAAGATTCTGCTGAACTTTTATCGCTGCACCATTGAGAGTTGACATGTTGGTTCTGTGTCTGTGTGGTTTGGAAACATCACAGATAAAGAAAAGAGAGCTTTAAAGGAATAGTTCACAGTTTTTACATACTGACATATGTTCTTACCTTACCTTAGACTAGTTAATATGTACCTGTCTGGTCTTAGTCCGTGCGCTCTGTCATGCAAACGGAGCAAAAACGGGAGCACAAACGCAGCCTCCTCTGTATACTGCGTAGGACCAAAAGGTAGCTCCCGCTAGAAGCTACCAAACTCTTCCAAGTGTTCCCTATTAAATGTATATAGTTACGTGACGTGTTACACTGCAAAGTATAGTAACACAGAAATGTAACACGTCACGTAACTATATACATTTAATAGGGAACACTTGGAAGAGTTTGGTAGCTTCTAGCGGGAGCTACCTTTTGGTCCTACACAGTATACAGAGGAGGCTGCGTTTGTGCTCCCGTTTTTGCTCCGTTTGCATGACAGAGCGCACGGACTAAGACCAGACAGGTACATATTAACTAGTCTAAGGTAAGGTAAGAACATATGTCAGTATGTAAAAACGGTGAACTATTCCTTTAAACAAGGTGCTCCGCTCTGCAAAGAGGACCGTGGGCTGTGAACTTCCTGTCCTGGAGGCTCTTTATCAATCCAGACTTTTTAACAGTGCCCTGAGAATTATCAATGACTCTTCTGGCCACCCTGGAAAAGCCTTGTTCCAGCTTCTTCCCTCTGGCAGAAGATACTGTTCTCTGAGATGCAGGACATCTCGTTATGCTAATAGTTTTTTTCCACGAGCTGTTATCAGTTTGAATAGAGCACTTTAATGTTTTTGCACTTGTATAGATCTGTTTTAGTTGGTCAACTTCACGGTGACATTTGTTTACTGTTTTTAAAATTTGTTTTATTTTTGTCTTTTAATGTTGTTTTATGTCTGTACTTGTCCTGTGCACACTGGGAACTTTTACTAATGTATTCCAATGTAGTGTTACTGCAAATGGCGAATAAAATGAATCTAAATCTGAATCTGTCACCATAAACCAGATCAAAGCCCTTGCAGGCTCGGCCCAGACCACATATCCACCAGCTACAAACATTGGGCCTCATTCACGAACGGTTCTTAGGAACAGATGTGTACGTAAATCCTACTTACGCGGTTTTTACGAAGAAAGTGGCATTCACGAATATTTCTCGTAACCAGAATTTCTCTTGGGCAAGTACAAATCCTACGAGTCCTCAGGAGCACTCGTACGCATTCAGCGCCGACATGTTCACACGCCGGGGTTGTCCTCTTTGGTGAAGTTGAATAAAAATACAACATTCCAGTGATATGTCCGTCATATCGATGTATGTATTTATTTATTTGTAGTAATCTTTATTAGTAATCTTTATTTATATACCGCCTTTTTCACTGCAGATCTGGCCTACTTTTTAATTCATTTTGAAATGAAATGTGCCAACGCTTTATCAAATACATTGGAAATCTTGCCGTGTATTAGTGACCCCTTTCTATTTATAGGGGGCATTTCTTTATCCACGGGCCACAGAACAACGGCATATATACTGCTGCTGCAGGAGGTTACTGGGTCCGCGCTGAGTCTCTGCGCTGGTCTCTCCTATGGATCTATACGGGTCTGCACTGGTCTCTCCCATATACGGGGCTGCACTGGTCTCCGCCATATACGGGTCTGCACTGGTCTCTCCCATGGATCTATACTGGTCTGCACTGATCTCTCCCATATACGGGTCTGCACTGATCTCTCCCATGGATCTAGACGGGTCTGCACTGGTCTCTCCCATATACGGGTCTGCACTGGTCTCTCTCCATACGGGTCCGTGCTGCATGCTCCTGGATCCATACGGGTCCGCGCTGGTCTCTCAAGTCTGGTCTATGCGGTCTATCTTCGGTCCGCGCTGGTCTCTGCGCACCGGTCTCTCCAGTCAGGTCACTCCAGTCTATGCGGTCTCTCCTATAGGTCCGCGCTGGTTTCTGTGTGCTGGTCACTCCAGTCTCTCCTCGGGTCTGCATTGGTATCAGCGCTGGTCCGCGCTGGATCTCCTCCCAGGGTCCAAAATATTTTGAGATTAATCTCAAAACATTTTGAGATTCATCTTTAAAATAATACATAATATATTTTTAAATTAAGCTCATAACATTTTGAGATTAATCTCATCATATTCTTAGATTAATCTCATAATTTTGCTAGTTCGACTTTATTATCATAATATTTCGACTTTTAAGTCAACATTTTATAACTTTATTCTCAGTCTGGTAAAAGAAGAAAAAAGGGTGACTCTTTTGCTCCGTGTAACTCTTTGCTTTAGGCCTGTTGCTGTTTCCTCTGGCGTCTGCACACGGCCCTGTAGTCCCTTATATGGGCATTAGTGGGCGGTTACTTATGCTAAGTACCTATGCTAATGAAGCACCTGGCACGCGCGCTGTACTTACGAGGAAATGGGATTCATCAATCTGAGAGAACAGCTGCGAACAATTCAGCGGCTTACGAGTGCGTTGATGAATCCCACGTGGGGACTTCTTAGAAATCTACTTAAGGACAACTTGAGAAGAAAGTTGAGTAGTTTCTTACGAAGTTATTCGTGAATGAGGCCCATTGCCTTTTAAAAATCATGGAACGCAATTGCACTTCCGAAATCGGCAAAAGTAGTTGATGTGCAATGCTTTTGTTTTAAAAGACAGAAAACCGCTCTGAGTATGATATGATCATACTGTTACAAGACTGAGACTGGTGCTTTTAGAGAGAAGGGGCGGAGTTACAGGTTTGTGCCGTAACTTACCGATATTAGCGTGTATAGATTTAAATACAACTTCAGGTCTGTGACTGATGGGGAAAAATGTTTTAAGAAGATTTAAAGTGAAAAAAAAAAGAAGTAAATTTAGCATAATAGGTGTTCTTTAAAGGCTCACCTGGGATGGGAGTCCGCGGTGGTGGTGAGATGTGTACATGTGTCTAATGTGTGTGTGTCTTGTGTCGCTCAGGTGTGCTGGCCCTCTGGACTCTCATCACTCACGTCATGTACCTGCAGGACTTCTGGAGGACCTGGTTAAAAGGGCTCAAGTTCTTCCTCTGTGTCGGAGCCGTGTTTTCTGTGATCGCTGTCATCGCCTTTGTCACTTTTCTGTCCATCGCCGTCCACACCAAAGCATGTGAGCTACTCCCCTGCCGCCGGGTTATTCCACAAGTCGACCAGTTTAAGCTGCTGTTATTCAAAATGTTAGGAAAACCTAGGACTCGTCATTTAGAGCGATCCATGTTGCGTAGTTTAAGATGAAGAGATCCTTTATTCGTTCCACAGCGGGGAAATGTCAGTGTTGCATCACAAGTTACAGAACAGTAGGAAAGAGGAGCACACAAGATAAATGGATAGTAAATAAAATAAAATCGGGGGCTGGAGTGGATAGCACTCTCGCTTCTCAGCAAGAAGGTCCTGGGTTGGAATCTCGGTCGGAACGGGGCCTTTCTAAGTGGAGTTTGCATGTTCTCCCCGTGTCTGCGTAGGTTTCCTCCGGATTCTTTGGTTTCCTCTGCCACTAAAAACATGACTGGCATCCGTCTCTTGTATGGCGACCCCGCTCCCGCTGAGACAAATGTCCACATTAGAGGTTTTGCACCACCACGTAACCTACATAGTAACCGTTACTACGCCGCCATGTTGGATGGCAGGTTTTAAAACTCTATACAGTCAGTGTGATGGAAAATTTCAGCCTTTTTCATTGTGGTAAACGCTCAGAGCAAGACAAAGATTTCAATTTTTTTTTTAAATACCGGCCATAATTAGCCATCGAGGAAAAGAAGAAATGACTGCGTAGTAACGGTTACTATGTAGGTCACGTGGTGGTGTAAAACTTCTATTGTAAAGCGCTTTGTGACTCCGGTCTGTGAAAGGCGCTATATAAAGATGACTTACTTACTTGCAAAAATAAAGTGTCTAATTCTAGCATATAAAGAAGCTGTTTAAAATTCCCAATTTTTAGCATAAAAAGGAAAGAAGTCTAAAATCTCCAACTTTAGCATGATGACGTAGCAAGACTTTAGTATAAAAACCTCATAATAAGAAGCAAATATAAAATACTGTATATTCTAGTGCTAGTAAAATATAGTTGTGTGTTTACATCTGTACATGAGGCAGCATGAGGCTCTGGGACAAAGTGACAGTAACACAAGCTTCTATATTGTACATCTTCTGTTTTTCCCAAGATGCCGTTCCTCTGCCCCCCACAGTGTTACTGCTGTGGCATTCTAGAGCTAAATCTGGAACAATACAGCCGCACTAAACACTCTGTTATAATATATACTATAATGTATACTTCATTCAGCTTGGAGCATGCACCAATGGCCTTTGACAATAGTGCACCACCATCATGCCGAGCCTTACATTTGGTGATTCTTTATGTCAGTGGTGTCAAACAGATTTTAGTTCCAACCTGAGTCGGAACACACCAGACTCCACCTGTCTCCTCAAATCTTCAGGTTAAAACCAGTGGGGGGCAGGTCCAGGCTCAAAAGGGTCCATAAGCACGTGCGCTGACTTGCTTGCAATCTCACTCGTTGCCGGTGGGGGTGTACCAGGAAACGGAATTATCCAGTGCATTTTTACAACACTTTCTTTCCTTAAAAAACGGCTTTTTAGCCCGGTCCAAAAATCGGCTCTTGGCTCAACGCTACGTTCTAGATGTGCGTCATTGCTGAGGGGAGTGTTTTATTTGGACCAGCCTTGTTTAGCTGCTGTGGACTTTTGTCAATGTCAAATGTCAAATTTATTTATATAGCACATTTAAAATGCCAAAAGCGCTTTACAAATTGGCTAAAAACATAATAAAAACTATTATGTACAACAGACAATGAACAGAAATATAAAAAAAGATTCAGCTCAACGCATGTTAAAAAGCCTTTTGAATACACTAAATACATTAAATGAATGGGGCGAGTGCCAACTAACGCATGCCAAATAGCGTTTTTTTTTTTTTTTTTTTTTGTAAAATAAAATTGAAAGGAGGGGCTGCCCGCGGCCATTCGTCACTGCGTCCGTTTATATTTACACTCTATGGTTAAAAACAGTCTGTTGTGCTCCTTCAAACCGACCCCTCAAGGACCGGTTTATGCTTTATGTGAATGCAAGTGACTGAAATGAAAAGAACTGAATAGTGTTGTTTTAGTCCCTGCACTCACTCCTCTCCTCCGTCCGCAGCTCTGTCTGACCCGCGCAGTCTCTACCTCTCCGCCGTCTGGAGCATGATGAGCCTGAAGTGGGCGTTGCTGCTGTCGCTGTCCGCCCACCGCTATCGCAAAGAGTTCGCCGACATCAGCATCCTCAGCGACTTCTGAACGCGCACGATACCACAGACTACCGCAGCAGAGAGCGCCCCCTGTCTGCCGCTTCTGGCCTCTGCAACTCAAGGACCCCAGAGAAGTTTGTAAACATTGGGGCTCAGCTGGAAGCAGGAGGAGGTGCTGGCGGCCATGTTTGACCAGCGTAAGAAGCGAGGGTTTGAATGGATTTTAATGATGTATTTTTTTATGAAAGCAACTACAAGACATTGTGATACAACTAAACAATCATGGGGATGAGGACGGAAGACTGCAATTGTTGTTTAGTCTGAATGTGAAGCAGTTTGGACAAAGCATCAGTCAATAGAGCAAGAAGGAAGTCGAAGGGGGCGAGGGGCCGTCTAAAAAAGCAAAGTCTAAATGTCTACGTTACTGAGCTCGTCCTAACACGAGTACTTTTGAGACGGTCCCTCGGTCATCGTGGATTTTCCAGACACAAATTTAGACAAAAGCAAACGGATGCTGCAGCAGAAATGTTAATACTTTAATGAGCCATTACCGTGACTAAAATCAGACCTGACTGGGGGCCACATGCGGCTAGTTTCGCATTTCTCGGTAATAATTTGTCAAAAAAACGCTTTCAATCAGTTCCCAATTTCTCGGCCTTCTCAACCTTTGGTCCAGTTTTGTTTCAAACCAAGCAAAACCAAAAAAGAATATCAAAACCTATTATCAAGAAAATAATAGTTTGCGCAGAATACCTTGATGATGTAAAAGGTCAGAACAAAACAATAGCCACATATCCAAAAAAATTAGCTCAAAACAACCACAAAGAAAATATTGGATATTTCGGCTCCTTTTTGAATAATTATTGTATTTTTCAAACAAATTATTTTATGAATTGAAGTAGATTTTGTGGGAAAGGGCAATGGGGTATTTCCACGGTAACCTCTGGAAAACTAGTCCCTCTCTAGACCTAGAACTGGGTTAGTTCTGAGTTCTGAGGGGTGCAAACAAAAGCACAGCACCCATCGAGCCAAACAATGAAGGAATTATCGGAACTAAACCCGGACTGTAGTCTCCTGTCCTCATCCCGGAAGCTTTTCTCAACTCAACACAACTCTCATTTCCTGTGGAGGAGTTTGACAGGATTTCTGCTGTACGCCACCGAGATCTGTGGAAGAGCGCCATCTGTCTGTGTCCAGGTATAACTGCAGGCAGGACACAAGCCTCGACTTTTAAGCACAACAAGACGAGGGACTGTCATTACAACCACGCAATTTCAACACGAGTTTGAATCAGACTTTATTGTTGATATCATAGGTTTTGACTATTTTACTAGTTACAAGCTAAATTTGAAGTAAGGGCCCTTGCCACTCGAGCAGATATAACAGTAACTCACATTTCACAACAGCACTGCCAAGTCTATGGTCCCCCATTTTGGGTTGTTGTCGTAATTGTTTTAATCTACAATTTTCCCCATGTTTACGTCTGGTCAAAGCTGGGGTACCTAACTTTCAAACCACAAAGCAATGCAACCATGTAATACATTTGCTGTCTCTAGTTTCTGGCTCTAAAACAGTTTGAACCGATCACTAGTTTTTGGCCTCTGTCGTGTCAGATTTTGCAGACAGAAAAGGGAAAAAGACCTTCACGGCCGATCAGCTTTCAGCCCAAACTGTCAAATAGTGACTTGCATGTGGCATGTTGTGGTCTGGTTTGTTCTCAACATTTTAGTTTAACAAGACTTCTCTGTTGGGACGAACATCAACGTTTTGAAGCTAAAGTTGGATACCCCAGCTTTAGTCTGCTCTCACTGTCCAACAACATTTTTAACTAGTTTCAACACATTACATTTCAATTCAATGGAGCCAGAAAATACAGAGATTTGGCATTTTATTTATCACATCAAGAGCTGCTTTTATAACATATCTGTGATGTTATAACATTTTATCTTTGGCGCAAACAGTTGCTTTTTGTTCAGATTTCACATTTTTTAGGAAAACACATTGAACCAAATCATCCATGAAACTACACAAAGAGATTATTACTACAAGTTTTTTCACACTGGGGTTCCTGCCACTTTATTTTAGATTTTTTTTTCAGCTTGGGCACATTCACACATAAGTAGGAACTAAAGATTGGGACCATACTTTGGGGACAGTCACCAACGCGACACACTCACTTAAATTGTTAAAATCATGGATGTATTATTTAATTAGTAAAATCCACTATCTGCATTTACATCGTTTGTTATACACATTACCCAAAACACATTAAAAGCTTTTTATTATTGTATAATTTGTTGCTTGAATAAATGGCAGTAAACCTTTATTTCTTTTGTTTTAATGTTGTCCACAAGAGGGCGGTGTTCCTCCACATATCAACCTGTGTGTTTTAGCATTATTTTCTCTGTATTTTGAGTTTCAACCAAAGTCTATTATATATTTGTGGCATTATGAAAACCACACATCTGTCAGAATGTACTGGACGCCACATAAGTGTATTTTATTTTATGTTATTGTTTGTAAATACATGGATTGTGTGATTTTTATGAGACTGTCGATGGTGAATGATTAAATGTCAAATGACCTTTACCCAGATGTGGACTTTTATTTTTCTGGCTTCCGTTGAAGTTAAAGAAGAAATATGTATTCTTTTCGGCGGTTATAAATGATAATGAGACTAATTACTTTGTCATTTCGTGTTTCAAAATGTGAGATAATACTGTTAGTATCAAATAATATGGTGAAACAAGTATGAAGGGTAATTAAGCTTCCTGCCTGTAATACTCTACGCTACCACTAGAAGGAGTGGAATTTGTTTCATTTTACCCCAAATTTGAAAATCATTGGCTACAATATATATAATATTTCACTCGGGAAATTCCCAAAACGAATTGACGGGCATTACTTTAGTTTTAAAAGGCACAAAGCTGCTCTGAGTGCGATGTCATAGTTGTTCAATGACATCATACTATTACAGGGCGGAAGGGGCGGAGTGATGTGTGCCTGAGGTTCCTGATATTAGTGTGCATGGATCTAAAACCAACTCCAGGTCACATTTAATTAAGTACTAAAGGAAATAATAATTGTAGGTGGGTATTTTGTTTTTTTTCCTCGTGGAAAATTACCCAATGAAATTGTTCATGGGTGGGGGTTGAGAGAGTCTCCCACTACAAATACCATGGCACTATATTGGATGATAAACTGAAATTTGATGTCAACACTGCTGCTATTGTGAAGCGCAGCCAGCAAAGACATTACCTTATGCAGAAGTTAAACTCCTTTGATGTCAGCTCCACTATTCTGTCTCGGTTTTATCAGGCTTTCATTGAGAGCATTTTGTGCTTCTCCTTTATCTGCTGGCTCCCTAATCTGTCGCACAAAGACTAGAATAGTCTTGATAGAATTGTGCACATCTGTTCGAAACTCATAGGAGTTGGACAGAGGGAACTGTCAGCTCTCTGTAACCAGCAGATGGTGAGAAAGGCTCGCATCATAATGTCCACTGATCATGTTCTGAATGATGAGTTCACTTTGCTTCCATCAGGACGACGTTATGTTTAACCACATTGTAAAACCAATCGTCATTTAAAATCTTTTGTCCCAACTGCTGTTAGACTGCTGAACTCTCTGTAGCTGGATGTGGACTTTGATGTTTGAGCTGTATTGTTGTATCATGTTCATATGTTTGTATGGGACTCCACTTCATGTCAAATCACATATTTAATGTGTTTTTTTTATGTTATGTGCTGCTCAAATGAATTGCCCCTGGTGGGATAAATAAAGTAGTCTGAATCGGAATGACACTAAGTTTATACTGACATTATAGGTATATAGGAGGATTTTCTACTTCAAGACTATTGGTGCTTCTAATTGTCAATCATTCTAGTGATACATGCTCGTCAAACAAGACCAGAGATTCAAAAAGGGGCGGGTCCTTCCTAAAAATTGGGATAATCCTCCTATTTATCTTGAAGTATAATTTTTACACCAATGAAAGCCTTAGAAGAAATTGTTTAAAACAAATCTGTAGCTCTTTGTGGGGGGGGGGGTTGTTTTCAACGTGCAGCCATTTTGTGAATACTGCCCACCTGTAGTATAGTAGCAGTACTGGTACACTAACTAGTATTGTCACTGTTTGGGCCTTGTGTTTTAAAATGAGTCTTTTGAAGATATTCAAGGCTCTTTGAAGTCGTGTCGTGGCTGAGGCGGGTCAGCAGGTCGGAGTTTAGAGGATTTTCAGCGTAAAAGTCAAATCCGTCTGTGTTTGGTCCTGATCCAGGTTTATGAAGAACAAACAGCCCACAGCGCCACAATACCAGCCCCATAACACGCACCCAGTCCCAGGCAATTATCACTGATGCTCCCACAGCCCGAGAGGAGGCTGGTCCTGATCCACGTCTGCTTTTTGAAAAGGTTGGATGTGTTAGTTGGATTGCAAAAGTATTTATACAACTCCAACTTTTGTCATGTTTGCGACTACTGCGCTATTCAGTCTCGCACCTCAAAAAGAAGGTCCTAGGTTTCCTCTGGGTGTTCAAGGCTGGGAAGAGCTGCACTTACTTCTTCAAGCCACTCAATGATCAAGAACATTTGACGAGTTACAGGAGACTATAAGACACAGCAGCACGGTGGCTCAGTGGGTAGTGCTCACACAATGAGATGGTTATGAATTTGATTCCTGTGCCGGCCCAGACCTTTACGTGTGAAGTCTCTCCCTGTGTCTGGGTGAGATTCTTCTGGGTACCGGTTTCTGAAAAACATGCATGGGTAAATCAAATAGATGTACTGTATGTTTGTAGGGCCAAAAATCATAGCCTTAGTCACAGAATTGTCAGTTTGCCAACAGCAGATTAGAAAATCAAACCATTAAAACACGTAAGATGCAACAGTACAGTGCTTAAAGAGTCATTGGTCCATATAGGATAAAGGTTTAACCAATATCCATACATTCTCCCTGACTTTAGACCAGGCATGTCCGAACTCAGGCCCGCGGGCCAAATGCAACCCTCTGTGCCATTCTATGTGGCCCTCTGCTAACACAAAGTAGTC